TGAAGTAGTTTAATTAGTGCGCAATTCAGTTTGGTGAAGATCGCGATTGATGTCGAAATGATGGTAAGGACACAATTAAGATTTCCATATAGGCTTAGGACAAAGGTAAATGGATGCAAAATTGAGAGAAAATGTGCGAGAAGAGAAGCCGATGACAAGTCAGAATAGCATATGTTGCATGGTAAGAAATCCCGAATTGAGGTCAAGAGGAATGCTCTTCATGTGATTAATTGAACGTCACTACACACAATGTGAGTACACGTAGAAGTGATGGCACCATATGTGAGTGTGAATGCACGTTGTCGAGTGCCTTCGCAGCTTTCATTTAAAAAAATTTCTTGGTTTCATCAAACCTTCAGAAAGACAAATTCGGATCCAGTGGTTTGCAAGTCCAGAAACAAGGTTATTGAAACCATAAGGTAGTCACATTTACGAAACCGTTAAAATACAAGTATCGCAGACACACGCACACATCCATCACAACCATTGATTCAACCTCAGGACTGGGCGCGTGGTTAGGTTGCCATGAAATGAGGCGTTGATGGAAATTACATTTACTTTTGGCAAAGCACGCATTCACGTTTCAGCACAATCGCGCGAACAACGCAGGCTAGCCTTAAGTGGTAATTGTTGTTGGAAAATTCAGTAAAAGAGCCGAGAAGACATTGATTGCATATTGCATTCAAAAGTGAAAACAAACGACACGAGGATGTATTCTAAAATATGAAATTTCCGTAAAATCCAGTTCGATTTGTCCTGGAAGGGCAAGAATATTCGCTTAGCGCAACAACTTGCATCATCACGAAATTGGTAAAATGATTTTTTCGATATGTTGCGGAGCAAGCTTTTCCACCACAGTTTCCGATCACTGTCGATGGCGTTGCACCTGGTCAAGTGGAAATCAAGATATTGCGCAACCATTGCAAAATCACGGCCAATGACAGCACACTCATATATTCGCTCAGTCATTAACGATTGTGCGGGTGATCAAGAAAACGCTTCAGAAGCACCTGCAATTTGCAATAAAATGCAACCATTAGAAATCATTCCACAGGCAAGCTGCGACCAAAGACGTGGTTATTAAAGGGTCAAACAAGGTGGCAGTGACTTCAGCAGAGTGTTGATGCCTCACAAGTCTGTAGATAAATCAACCTCAATTAGGGCAATCGAAGATAAGGAAAATCACTTTAGTGAATCTTTACATGTGGCCAGGTATGTTGTCACAGTCGAGAGTCGCGTGCGCAGCGAGACACGTTCGCCGTGATTCCGCACGTAAGTTGAGTCTCGATGTGGCTTGCGGAATGCTGTCATGGCAACCAGCACACCACAAAGCAGTAAATTTCATATTGGGTGGAGCTGGAATATCGACTTTGAGTCGCATCGATGTTGAACGTGTGATCGCGGAGCCGGCAACATGCTGAAACCCACCGTCACTATCACCAGTGTGGAGGACGGACGCCACCACATGAAGCTCGAGAGCACCTTCGAGAACATTAAGTTCACCGAGTTCCAATTGGGCAAGGTACGTGACGAGGTGACTGCACACCGTCGGAAGGTGAAGTCCACCACCATAATGAACACGAGCACAATGAAGCATGTGCAGATTGAAGAAAAGACAATTCACTTCGAAGGGGTCATCTAGGGTGACAATATGTTGACAGTGAGTTGTAATTGCTCGACCACCACCACGATCCCTCGTGGTACTACTTTGTTTGCACTCGTGTTTGGTCATGCCTGTTATCCATTTAAGGCCTTGAGTGTGAATGACCTCGACAGCAAACGAAAGTAAACCAGATGTTAGACTATGCAAATTTTGCAACACGAATATCCTCCTTTTATCTATGCATATTTCATCGCGTTCCTTATAGTTACTTCATCCTTCATCTTACCAAACATTATTGGATTATCTGAATGTACGTCTGCATACGACAATTACTCATCGCACACTTTGTCAATCGTTCTGGAACTGGCTCGAATGCAGCAATCGCATCGTGTTCAAAATGCAACAACAGCAATCCAAAGCTGTTTATTCTTCCATGGATATTTTGCCAATCTCATTGTCCAATTGATAGCCAATAGCAAGGACAAGAATTTAAGGTCGAGGTAATTCCGATCGTTTTATTTGTTAGCTGATCTAGTCTCCTTCAGAAAAGGATGTGATATGATATTAAATGTTTCACGTTGCACTCTCGAACATTTCACGTGCCAAATATCACTTTAATAGATCAGAAAATAGCACCAAGCGGCATAGCTAGATTCAGTAAGACCAGTTTAAGCATTAACAGATTATAGCGTAAAGTGAATGCATCATTTCGACCCTAAGTAATTTAACGGAGTTTAAGTACACGCAAATTTGGACAACGTCGCAATACAGTTTTGGCCAAACATTGGGCCCATTGGGTTAGTTTAATATAACGAAATGTGTTTTTCTGAGATAGGACTAATCGCCTCAAATGCATCTCTACAAAGCAAGACCAAGTGCGGTCAGCAATACAGCAGTAGTGTTGATTCATCGGCAC